GTACTTCATGGCTTTGTTCCCAGTGAGGCAGCTGATCTCAGATCCTTCCCTGAAGACAGAGTTTGGTCAGGCCAGAGAGAGGAAGACAGAGGATGGAGAAAAGGGAAAAGAAAGAGGGCTTGGCTCCAAAGACTCTTTGCTGGCTTCCCATTTATCTGTACTATCTCAGGCATGACCCCGCCTCTTTATGTCCCCATCTGACCCAGCTTGGACTCCATTTTCCTCTCCGACTCTCCAGAAGATGATGTGGACAGTGGTTTCCTCTGAAAGGATCGGATTGGGACTGCTGGTGGAGCTGGGAGAGAGAGGAGTGAAGCGAGGAGGTGGCAGGAGGCACTCCATTCCATCTTTCTCACAGGCAGCTTCCACTCTTTCAGGCCACAGGATCAGCAGGACTTCCACCCGGAAACATTCCTGAGCAAGAAGCCTGTGGAGTGAATCAAAGGTGGGGTTTATAGACTTCAAAGCTGGAGCCAGCCTGGTGGCCTTTCCCTATTACCCTGTTTCCCCCAAAATAAGACAGTGTCTTATATTAATTTTTGCTCCCAAAAATTGTGCTAGGTTTTATTTTCAAGGGATGTCTTATTTTTTCATGAAGGAGAATACAGTAAACATTTATTGTTAAATGAAAATAAAGAAAATTTATTACCTGTGTATGGTACCGTAGTATGGTAGTTGTCAACACAAACCAGACAAACTGAATCCTACAGCATCAAGAATTTACTCATTTCACTGAAGCCGGTTTGGCTCTGTGGTAGAGCGTCGGTCTGCGTACTGAAAGGTCCCAGGTTCGATTCCGGTCAAGGTCATGTGTACATTGGTTGCGGGCACATCCCCGGTAGGGGGTGTGCAGGAGGCAGCTGGTCGATGTTTCTCATTGACGTTTCTAGCTCTCTATCTCTCTCCCTTTCTCTCTGTTAAAAATCAATAAAATATATTAAAAAAAAGAATTTACTAATTTATTCAATGACAATCATGTCATCTTCTGGAACATCATCATAACAATCCAATTCCTGAATTTCTTGGTGAATTTCTTCTGACTCCATTTCTTTCAGAATCAGTGGACCAAATCTCTCATGTTTAGCCTAGGGGGGGGGCCTTATTTTCAGGGGGATGCCTTATATTTCACTCAGAAGGAAACCTGTAAGTAGGTCTTATTTTCGGAGGATGTCTTATTTTCGGGAAAACACGGTATTAGAGTTATCTTAATTCATTTTAGTAGAAAGCAGAATTACACTTATCCTCATTGCAACACTGCTTGAGAAGGCTTTTTCCTGAGAAGATATGAACTGAGGGTCTGAATCAGTTCCCCAACTGTGCAGTGCCCCACAGGCACCCTCCTGGGCTTCAGAGGAGCCAGCAGGCAAGTTTGGTACCTACCACCAAAGGCTTGTGACTCTCCTTGAGAAAATACCCAACTATCTGGATTCATATATAACATTTCCACTTCACAGCAGTTGGACAAGTTGCTTAACTTCTCTAAGCCCCAGTTTTTGTAAAATAGGGCCTTAAAGCAGTAACTACCTTATAGGGGGTTGGGAGGATTCAGTGAAAATAATGCATCAAAGGCCCTTGGCTCAGAGTTTTGCACCAAGTAAGCACCCCATAAAGGTTAACTATTATTACTATTATTAATAATTGGTGACCATTCTAGGACATGGTTTCAGTGAGTATTTTCTTCTCTCTGTAGGCCTTCGTCAAATTTCCATGAACCCATTCAGTGTGCTGACAGAGAGAGAGCCTGACAAAACTTCAGCAATGTCCAGGCTGGGCTCATGGTGCTAGGGCGCCAAGCTCAAGTGGCGCCTCCCGGCAGGGGGCATCCACCTGCCATGGTATGGAATGTTTTCTTTTACAAAAATATGACTTTCAGAGTGTCTTTCTTTGTCTAGCATTTCTTTCTTATATTCTGTAGTGTTCCTAAAAAAATAATATCTAACACTTTTTAAGGGCTACTATGTATTGTGGCACTTTTTAAAGGACAGGGATATTTGAAAGATTAATTTTTAAAAAAAAGCCTAGTTACCTCAAATGAGAAAATATAGCATTTAGCAATATAATTATTAAAGAATAATATATATATTATTGATTTGAGAGAGGGGAAGAGACAGAGATAGAGATAGAGATAGAGATAGAGATAAAGAGAGAGAGAGGGAGGGAGAGAGAGAGAGACATTGATTCTACCCTGACTAGGGACGGAAGCTGCCACCTTTCAGTGTATGGGATGATGCTCCAACCAATGGAGCCACACCGGCCAGAGCATAGATATATTTTTCATCTGAATATTACAGTCATGTGGCAAAAGGATTTTTCCCTGTTTATGGTCAAATTAACTTGCCTCTAATCCCCAATAATTTCTTATGGAATGAATAACTTATTCTTTGCAATGTAATTTATTATATGTAATAAATCTGAACAGTTATTTTCCTAAGGAAACACACCTTATCATTCTCTGCATTGTGTTCACACAAAGAGGTATTCTTTTGACAAAGAACTTAAACCTAGGGCACAGGAGAAGGGAGCACCCTCTAATTTCTCTGTATAAGAAAGCCAGTGATGCAGACATAATGTTCACTTCCCTTAAGGGAACAATGGCTCTTGACAAGAAGAAATGTGGTTTTGGCAAAGAACTTGCTGCTCCGAATTTGTTTAAAAACACTTGATATTCTGTTTTAGTTCCTACATCAAATATATGGGGAGATATTTATAAGGAAATCGGTAAACTGATGAGTGAGTATCTTTGAGCCTTGAGTCAGTAATAAAATGAATTTGGTGCTTTCAAACATATACATTTCACTAGGTTAGAGAGAAAGCCAAGTTTCTGAAAGACCTCTCTTTAATGGTCAAAATTGTACAGACTAAAGGAAAATAAACACTGTACTGTGGTAATTGCCTATTGTTATGGTCTACATGTTTGTTTCTCCCTCCCATTTCAACATTAAGGCAAATGTTGAAGGCTTAATCCTCACTGTGATGGTATTTAGGGATGAGACTTTAGGATGGTATTAAGGTTATTAGGTTAGATGAGGTCATGAGAGGGGGCCCTCCTGGTGGGATTAACCCCCTGGTAAGAAGAAAAACCAGGTGAAACCAGTTTGGCTCAGTGGATAGAGTGTCAGCCTGTGGACTGAAAGGTCCCGGGCTCGATTCTGGTCAAGGGCATGTATAATACCTTAGCTGAGGGCACATCCCCAGTAGGGGTGTGCAAGAGGCAGCTGGCCAATGTTTCTAACTCTTTATCCATCTCTCTTTCTCTCTGTAAAAAAAAAAAAAATCAATAAAATATATTTTTAAAAGAAGAAGAAGAAGAAGAAGAAAAATCAGAGAGCCCCCTTGTTCTCTCTGCCATGTGTGGACACAGCAAGAAGGAGGCCGCCTGCGAGCCAGGAAGAGAGCTCTCATCAGGATCCAGCCATGCTGTACCCTGATGTTGAACTTCTAGCCTACGGAACCGTGAGCAACACATTTAAATTTCTCTTGTTTAAGCCACTCACTCTGTTGCATTTTGTTATGACAGCCCAAGCCAACTAAAACACCAATAAACTCTCAGACCACGTTTCTCTTTCATTGATAGATGTTTTCACATGGACCAGTATTTGTGTTGAAACCATCCAGTGACCTGGCTGCCCTGGCTCTTGGCTCTGAAGTCACATCTTGGACATGAGAACCGATTTAGCTCCACCACTTTGGATTCCAGTCCGTGCACCTTAAACATGGCCTAGGGCTTGCTCTCTGGCTCTCTCATCCAAAGGCAGCTCCTGCTCCCACTCTTCAGGGTTACTCCCAGGTGAAGGGTCATATATCAGTCTTGTGTCAGGAACCATCAAAGGCACAATAAAATGTAAGGAACATGGCAGGGTAGGACAAACACTGAACCTACATTTTGAGATAGAGAAAGAAGAGTGAGCCATAGAAGAGAGGAGAATACTTGTCACACTATTTCAGAGGGTTATTGCCAGGATCCAATGTGTCATTACACAGGAATGAGAAAAAGCCATACAGTTTTAATTCAACGCCTTATCATCATTGCTACTCCAAGGAGTTTATAATATACTAGCTAAGGCAACATAACATGAACCACATGATAACAATATATATTTGACTAAAGTGTTACTCACTTGGAATGAATAACCTATTCTAAGCAATCTATGTAATTTATTATATGTCATAGTCCTCTGGACTGCTGAGACCTGCCCTTATCCCCCATCCTTTAATATTTAAATAAATTATCTTGAACTCCTCATCTTCTGTAGAATGAGATTAATCACCATCACTCCCAATATTTCTGGAAATTCCTGGGGCCTCGCTCCCTGTGGTCTCTGGTTCTGTGTGCATTCTTTGGCTAAATTCTCTAACTTCATTGACTGGGCCATCCATATTCATTTATCACCCCCCTGCCCCTGTCCCCTGGCAGCCCCCGCACACAGCCTGGCTTCCTGAATTCTCCAAGAATTACTGACATCAAGCTGCATGTGCAGCAGATTTTAATAATGACGTGAGGGAAGGAGGATGAAGTTGTGGCTCAGCACAGAACATGTTAAATATCCTTTTCCTTAATTGTCCCTTGGCCATGGCCACCTCTGAGAAGACCTCACTGGCCTGCCGTTTACATGGAGCCCCTGTGACCAACATATTATTCCATTTTCCCCCTCTCTCTTCTCCTGGCCTTTTCTACTCGCTCCTTCTAAGTTGCTCCAATAATCCCTGCTCTATTACTTATGTAAAACAAGATGGCCACCACCTATTGAATGCTTACTCTGTACCAGGCACGATGCTAAGTGCTGTCACTTCTCAAGTAACAGGTACCCTCACTTTCCAATGCTCCAGATATCTGGGCACATACCTAGGTGTTTCAACAAACTTTTTCAACAAATAATTTTTACACTATTTCTGAGTGCTAGGGGCTTGGGGTCTTTGCTCTAATGGGCTTTCATACCCAAAAAGCCACTCAAGAAAGTTGCTAAAACTAAAACAAAGCGACCCCCCCCCCCTTACAATTCTCAATGAGGCATTGTACTACAACTTTTATACAGACTCCTTTTCCCTCCAGAATACAATGACAATATCATGACAAACAGCACCAGAGAAAAGTATAAAAGCTGCCACATGAGTAACTCAGGCAACAAAAGAAGACAGCGAGTCCATCGGAGGTTGGAATGGAGTCCAGTGGCATGCAGGAAAAGAAGTCAGCTGAGCGGGACGTTAAGGGCTGGTATAATGAGAACAGTAAGAGGGGGGAGAGGCCTTGGGCTGGGCCGGGATGAACAGCAGCGAGTTGTGATGAAGGGCAAGGATCTGGGCTCAGACTTCCTTCTGGCATTTGCTCACTTTGGTTTTTTTTGGTGAATTGCTTCATGTCTCTGAGCCTGAGTGTCCTCGTCTGGAAAATTGGGATAGCAATAGCACCTTCCTCAAAGGTGCGTGGTCAGGAGTAAATCAGAAAATGTGTGAAATGCATTTCAGTGACTGGCATATAAGTGAACAATACAGCTTTAAAAAGCAAAGATCTGTATTAGGAACTTAACACTTCGGGAAGCCGCTCATTGTCTTCCCTAGCAGAGAGGTGTGGACAAGGAACCCGGAAGGCTGGTGACCCTCAGCTCTGGCAAAGGGCAGGGCTGTACAGCCACTGTTCAGTCCAGACAATGGTAGCAAAAGCAACTTCCCTACCAGACAGTCCTGTAAATTCTTACTGATAAGACAGTCTGCCCTGATAAGATTACTGATAAGACAGTTACTGAAAATTGGCTGCCTAAGTGCTATAGTTGTATCCCAAATTGAATAAAAGGAGCCCCTGTGACCAACATATTATAATACTCCATTCCCCCCCACCCCTCCTCCCCCTCTGGGCAAGGCCGGAGCCCAAGGGGAGTCCTTCCTCTTGAGTTGGGCTCCAGCCTGGTTCCCTAATATTTCCAAACTATTACTTCTTGTCTCCATTTGCTTGTGGCCCCTCTTCCAGAGCCTGAACCCTGAACCACGGGGACATGGGACTTCACATAACACTTCAGCTATTAGATTTTTTGGAGCACTTACCATTTATACAAATTTTTTCCCCCATGCACCTTTGTTCTAATGTAATCATTTGGGAGTGAGGTCACTGTGCCCATGGAGCCTGACTCCAAATCTTTCCAATCCTGCTTTGAAGGTAAAGTAAAAAACAAACAAAAACAAACAAACAAACAAAACAAACAGGAGTGGTAAACCCTGAAATGCTTAATAATAACTAAAATTACTTCCTTATTACTTGTTTTCCCAATCAAGGGTAGACTTTCACCAACGAGATATAGTTAGAGCATCTACGGGGAGGGTCAGGAGTGGACACAACCACCAACTTACTAGACTTTGTCCACCTACTCACTTAGCCGTGGAAAATGATTAGCCATCTATTAATAAGAACTGCTACAGGGAAGGCTTTTAAAATTAGAACCCGAGTCAAAGTCTCCCGAGAAGTTCAGCAAAGAAGAGAATAAAGATTCTAATCCACTCTGTGACTAAGTGTGGGAGGTGGTTGTTGTTGCTAAGTTTCTAGAACACAAGCCTCCATTTCCCATCACAAAGCTGGGACTGCTCACCCATCTGTGCCCTGACTCACAGGCCTTTACCCTGTCAGCCTTGTCACCAGCTCTGCTCTGTCAGGGCTGGCGCGGCCCCCACAGGCATTCTGGAGCTCTCTCTATCACAACCAGTGCTCGCTCTATCATCGCCTTCTCAGGTAGAGCCCTGCAAAGTTAAATAGGAGGAGATTTGGGACAAAGAGAGGAAGAGATTCGAAAGAGAAAAGAGAGGGTGGGAGGGAGGTAGAGTCAAAGAGATAGAGAAGTTAAAAGTCGGATGTAGCCGAAACTGGTTTGGCTCAGTGGATAGAGCCTCAGCCTGCACACTGTAAGGGTTCCGGGTTCGATTCCCATCAAGGGTATGTACCTTGGCTGTGGGCACATCCCCAGGAGGGGGTGTGCAGGAGGCAGCTGATCGATGTTTCTAACTCTCTATCCCTCTTCCTTTCTCTCTGTAAAAATCAATAGAATATATATTAAAAAAAAAAAAAACAAGTCAGATGTAAAAGCAGAGGGCACGAAAGAAGACAGAAACCTCTAATGGCAGAGCAGAAAGGTTATAACTTCTTAGGACTTACCATATTCTCATTCTGCTTTCTGTGGTCAGACAACAAACATTTGGTTGATCTTTCAATGGGGATTGTTAAAACTGCTGAGAAAGCAGGTTGCCTAGTACATGCTCACTGAATTGGCCAAGCCAGTGCTGCAGTGTAGAGGGGTATTTATCATTCCCCTTCTCTAGTTCCACACCCTTCACACGTTCACTACTCTGAGAGAAACCTGTATGAGGGGCAAAGCTAGAGAGAAAAAGACCTTAATCTTCTAGAAGGCAAAGTTTAAAAAACTTCAGGATTCTATGAGAAATGGCAAACATTAAAACAAAAACAAAAAACCCAAACTACAATTGTATACCTGGCAATATAAAAATATTGGGGTGAAGTATGGTAGCAACCATACTTAGGTAAAAACTGCTGTTTGAGTTTTAACCCTGCTATTCTGGCTTTGGCACTCACTTACTTGCTCAAACAATAGGGTGGTTGCCTCAGCTTCCAGATTGAGACCTGGAGGCTAAGGCAATTTTCCTGTGCCTGTGGACCGGGACCACAGGACACTGATTCCCACTGACTCAGTTGCTCCAGGAGTTGAAACTGTGGATAACCTTTAGAGATTAAGTTTGCTCAGGTCTGCTTCTGTACTACCTGCTTTCGCAAGATAGGGCCACATTCCAATGTCCAGCAGGATGTGGCTGGGAAGGACCCCGTGGGCTGTTCCCAGCATTTAGAATTTAGAATTCAGAACAAAGGAAAATTCTTGTGGTTTAGACCTTTAAAAGGACTGCCTACACCTGCAATGGCACGGTCATGTGGACTCCACCTGCGTGTGGTGCTCTCGCAGCCGTCCTGGCCAGTTCAATAAATCCTTGCCTGCTTTTTTAAATCAATTAGCAGCCTCCGGTGGTCTTATTTTTGACTCCAGGGTTCGACCCCACAACAGGGGTTCTTAGAAAACACTTGTTATCACCACCTCTTTAACCCGTTTTAAATACCTCCAGTAGTTCAAATGGCTTGATATGCAGGGTCAACCCTATCCAAAATTGTGACATTAAGAAATGTATCTTTAAATGCTTCCCTTTGCATTCTGCCCCATCATGCCTTTCTTTTCTCCTTCACAAGCTCTTCCCTGGAGGAACCTCCCCTCTGGTGAGCAGGAACAAAGGCTTTAGCTCCAACAAACTCTATACCCAGCTCTAACACATCCTTACCTCCAACAACGGAGGGCAAGGGCCAGTGGGATGGGGGCAGTGAAAGAAAGAGGGAAGTAAGTAGAAGGAATGCTCTACTTCGGGGAGAAGGTGGCACCTGAGAAGAGAACAGAAAGTTCTTGTTTAGAACATATTGGTGCTGAGATATCAGTGAGCATCTAAGTGGAAATGAACTTCAGGTTTCTGGGACGACAGGAGCGTGGGAGGGTTGGAGAGAGGGACTGAATATCACCTCCATAAAGTGGGAGGTGTGCAATAGGCTGCTGGGTGTACTGGGCCTGAGTGCATGGCCAGCAGAGCACAGAGTCCTTATGCTTGCTCACGGGGCAACTGCCTGCCACTGGATGACTTAATACCTACAGTCAGAGCAGTTGTGGCCAGCCAGAAGGTGTTAAAGGTCCATTTTGCTCTAAAAACCTCTATGACTCTACAAGATAACCTGTTCCACACCCCTAGATAAAGCTATTTTATGATCCTGGCTGGTGCCCAGGCAAGATGAAATTGAGCAAGGGAGGAACAGAAAGGCCTCCAAATACTCCCTGGTGCTTTGATTTCTTCAGTTGTCCTCTTGGAAGAAGGAAAATGACCAAATCTGTGCTCTTGTTTAGCAGATAACGATGTAATGCTACATATCCATTCAACATTAGCTCAGACAATGTCGAGAAAGTTAGAATTTTCAGTTTGTTATTTCTCTGCCTTTACACTTAATACCATTTCCTCAAAGGACTTTACTCTGGTCGGAGGGAACAAAGGTCTTAACTCTAATATAAACTCCATACCTAGCTTCAACACATGCTTAGCTTCATTAAAAAAATTTTTTTTCAGTAGTTTCTCTAATAAATATGTTTTTAACTAGAGGCCCGATGCATGGAATTCATGTAAGAGTAGGCCTTCACCGCACGGCGGCTTCCGTGGATCCTGCGGCTGCAGCCCAGGCTTTGTCTGGAAGGTCGCCTGGAAGGACATCTGGTCTAATTAGTATACTATGTTTTTATTACTATAGATTGATTTCAGAGGAAGGAAGAGGGAGCGAGAGAAACATCAACGATGAGAGAAAATTATTGATCAGCTGCCTCCTGCACGCCCCCTACAGGGGATCGAGCCTGCAACCCAGGCATGTGCCCTGAATGGGGACCAAACCCTGACCTCGTGGTTCATGGGTCAATGTTCAACCACTGAGCAACCCTGGGCGGGCATCCCTCCCCCCACTTCATTTCTTAACTAATTTCTTTATTTTGTCCTTTCTTAATTCCGCTAAACATTCTCCCCATTCTTTAGCTAATTTTTGCAGCCTCTGTGCCTTTGTTCAAGTTTCTCTCTCTCTGCTGGTCCATCTTGCCCCTTCTCCATCATTCATCCCCTGCTTACCTTTCAAGACTTTGCAGACTCAGAGCAAATGTCACCAACTCTGTGAGCCTCTCTGCCACATCTCTTCCCTTAAGGATTTGTAAGTTCCTTCCCAGCAGAGACCACATTTCGTTCGTCTTTCTATCTTCAGCAGCCAAATCAGCGAGGACTCCGTGTTTGTTGGGTGGATCAATGAAAGACTTCCTAGTGCTTCCCAGTGACCATGTGGCGTTGAATCCTGCATAGTCCTGCTTTCTGTTTTTCCTTCTTTCTAGTAATTGTCTTTCAACATACCACACGATACATTTCCTGAGGGCAGAGACCTTTCTCTTAGTTCGGTGCTGGACAGTGCTTCTGCTGATCTGCCTGTTAGGAGTGCCCGCGGAACTTTTAGACCTGACCCCACCAAACAGTCTTTAAAAGATGTAAATGTTTAACTTGAGAGCTGCACTCCTCCACTCCAGGATTCTTCGGAATCAGGATCTCTGGGAGCAGAGCTTTTCTTCCCGTCCTTCCCTGAGGAGACAGAAGGAATCTTAGAAGCTGGTGTAAGAAAGGGTGTTTGGGGAGGGTAGGAATCTGATTTGCTAAATTCCTTAATTGATCCTGTTTAGACCAAATTCAGGTTGTTCTCTGCCTGTACTGGAAGGTCCTAATTTACACAGCAAAAATCTGTTGTGTGTGTTTAATGAAATTATACTTTAATGCTTGAAGAGATCACATTAAAAAAAATTTCATGGGGTCAGTAAACTTTCTGCAAAGTGAAGAACCATCTCAGAATAAGTTTATAAATTTCAATGTTTGTCTACTAGGATTGCTTACTAATACAGTGAGACTCAAAGGTTGCTTTAGTTTATTGATTCTCTCATTTTGTTTTAAAACGTTCTTTATCTAGGATAATTAACTTTCATGCTGACTAGTCTAAGCGTAGGTTTTTTTAATGTAACTAATGAGGAGCTGTCTTAGATGTTCCAAAAACAATATTTTTTCAAAATATATTTTTATTGATTCAGAGAGGAAGGGGGGGAGAGAGAGAGGGAGAGAGAGAGGGAGGGAGGGAGGGAGGGAGGGAGAGAGAGAGAGAGAGAGAGAGAGAGAGAGAGAAGCATCAATGACAAGAAAGAATCATTGATCAGCTACCTCCTGCACGCCCCTCACTGGGGATCGAGCCTATAACCCAGGCATATGCCCTGACCAGAATCAAACCCCGACCTCCTGGTTTATAGATTGATGCTCAACCACTGAGCCACGCCGGCCAGGACAAAAACAATGTTTGTGTTACAATATAGTCAGGAACTTGAAAGCCTGTTAATCTTTGTTTTCTCAGCAATATGCTGGGATGTGGAGCCTTCCCAGCCCTCTGCCTCCCTTTCTGCCTTCTCACCGGGCACAGGTCAGTGGGGCCTCTCCCAGTTAACAGGAATAATTGCCCTCCGACTCTTTAAGGAACTAATGGGGACCTGGATGAACCACTGATTCATTTCAATCCCTCCTGGCCTTTATTTCTCTTCTCCCTCCTTGCCTATTCACAATAGGAAATAGAAGTCTGTATTTCATTATTCATTATATTAAAATTATGTTTCCAGTCTTCCCAATTTTCAGTTTTTAAAGAAATTAGCTAAACCTCTAAAGATTTTTAGTTTTGTTTTCTTTTCCCTTTGGGTAACTGGCCCTAAAATGTCTCCTTAGTCCCTCATTACAGAAGGCCAATCTTTCAGCCTTGGCCCTGGATTTGTTTTTCAGTTGAGGAGAACAGGAGATGGAGAAAACAAGTGGAAGAGGGGCCATTGCTTTGTCCACAGCGGAGACTGGCTCAGAGAACCCAGCGCTGGAGCTCGCGGTAACCCACCAGCTTGGTTTTTGCAGAGCTTTCTGGTCTGCTGTGCAGTCTCCTGTAGGGTCTTTGGCTGCTCACAATCCCCATCACCCCTGGCAGGGCCCTATGACTGACCCCAGCTCTACCTGTGCTTACAGGAAGAAGGAGTAAATCCTGAGGGAGCCAGGAGGACTGAAGCGCAAGGACAAAGCCTCCCGGATGGGCTGGGGCCTTCCACTCACCACAGGTGTGTGTATTCTGGAACTGGTTCAGTTAAGGCCTAACAAGCTAGGGTGGGTTAATCGTGGCCACTGGACTCAGGAAGCTCATGGTCTTATTGAGGCGATAAGATTCACAGCCACGTGATGTTACCATATGCACAACTGTTTGTATCTAAACATGTGCCATATATAATAGGAGTTGGTTGGACTGACAACAAAAATAACAACAATGAGAATAGTAACAGCTAACATTTATTGAGTACTCATTATTGTGTAGAATGCTTTATGTAATTAATTTAATTTTCACAACAGGTGGATACTAATTTTAATCCTCCCCCCTCTTTTTTTAATATTAATAAATTAGATAATTGAGGCTTAGAAATTAACTTACCCATATTACTAAAAGAAAAAACAAACAAAAACCTCTTCTGGAATACTCAATTTTGGGGATGGTGAGAAAGAAAAATCAGAAAGAGAAAAAAAGGCAGAAAGGGACCACCATGAGGGATAATAGTGGAAGTAAAAATGTAGAGCCTTGAAAGTCAAAAGGAAAGGAAGTATCAAGAAGGAAGGCACAGTTCACAATGTTGTCTGAACAGGCAGGGGTCAGGGAAGTAGGGGTGAGAGAAATCTTTGAATTTGCTTATGGATTTGGTCCCAGAAGTAATGTCTAAGAAAGTTGTTTGGATAAAGTGGGTTAGATGGAAACCATGTTGCATGGTGTGGAAAAGGTCTGGATATTTATTTAAAAAGTGCAAAAGTCAGACATTGCAAAGCTTAGAAGAAGCTGTTGAATCCTAAACATAGAGCTATTTTTGCTTGTTTTCTTTTCTTTATTTTTAAGAATTAACTTAGTGATTTCACAGAGAAAACAAGCTTAAAATTTTAAATTCTACTTTCTTCAGAAAGTCACTTTTGTATACAAATTGACATATATCAACATGGACATGGCTGGTCCAAGTGCAATGATGCCTACAATTAATTGATTACAGCCAGTTACAGATTTTGTCCTGGCCAGTGTGGTTCAGTTGGTTGGGTGTCATCCCATGCACCAAAAGATCGCCAGTTTCATTCCTATCAGGGTGCATGCCCTGGTAGGGGGCATGCCAGATGTTTCACTGTCATAGCAATGTTTCTCTCTCTGTCTCTCTGTCTCTCTGTCTCTCTGTCTCTCTCTCTCTCTCTCTCTCTCTCTCTCTCTCTCTCTCTCTCTCTCTCTCTCTCTCTCTCTCTCTCTCTCTCTCTTAGAATAGAATTGACAAGTTTTAGTGATTAAAGATCAACCATTTTCAGGACACACACTCAGACCCATCTTTATCCTCTCTTACTTCTGTTCTTGGTTCCTTGGAAATCCTTAATCTGATCTTGCAATGTAAACTAACTTTAGCTTCTCTTTCTTTCCATTACTCTTTCTGAATTTAGCTATATATATAATATCCGCAAAAACACCCACACACATTTTGAATAATTATAAAGGCAGAGTTTATTAAAATACATTTTACTTTCAAAATTGAGCTATTAGCTGTTAAAGTGTCTATACATTTTTCATATTGCATCATTATCCATTCACCCATTGATGGGCTGAAATAAACATGGGAACACATACATCTCTCTAATATTTTGTTTTCATTTCCTGTGGGTCCTATGGGTATATACCCAGAAGTGAAATTACTGAATAATATGATAGATCTATTTTCAAATTTTTGAAGAACCTCCATATTATTTTCCATAGTGATTGAACCAATTTACGTTCTTACCAATAGTGTACAAGGATTTCCTTTTCTCCCCATCCTTGCCAACACTAGTTATAATCTTGTCTTTTTTATGACAGCCATTCAAACAGGTGTGAAGTTATAGCTCATAGTGGTTTTTATTTTCATTTCTCTGATGATTACTGATGTTGAGCATCTTTTCATGTACTTGTTGAGCATCTTTTCATGTACTGATGTTGAGCATCTTTTCATATCATTGGATATCTTTGGAAAAATATCTATTCAACTCCTCTCTCCATTTTAAAATTGGATTGTTTCTTTTTTTTCTTTTGCTATTGAGTTGTATGAGTTCTTCATATATTTTGGATACTAATCTCTTATGCAATATATGATTTGCAGAAATGTTCTCTCATTCTGTAGGCTGCTTTTTTTCCATTCTGTTTCTTTTGCTATGCAGAAGCTTTTAAGTTTGATGTAGTCTCACTTGTTGATTTTTTTTTTGTGTGTGTGCGTGCTTTTGATATTATATCTAGAAAATTATCACCAAGATTTATGTTAAGGAGCTTCTTTACTTACATTTTCTTCTAAGAGTTTTACAGTGTCAGGTCTTATGTTTAAATTGTGGGTCCATTTCAATTTAATTTTTGTGAGTGGTATAAGATAGGTCAATTTCGTTATTGTGCATGTGTTTATCTACTTTTCCCAACATATTTGTTGAAGAGACTATTTTCCCCCATTGGGTGTTCTTGATTCCCTTGATGAATATTAGTTGACTGTATATGTGGTAATTTAATTCTGAGCACTCTATTCTGTTCTATTGGTCTATGTGTCTTTTTATGATATACTAGAGGCCTGCTGTATGAATTTGTGCACAGGTGGGGTCCCTTAGCCTGGCCGGCAATCAGGGCCAACAGGGGGTGGAGGGGAGAGGGATCCCAAGAGGTTGGCTGGCTGCGGAAGGTTGACTGTGTGAGAGCACTGACCATCAGGGGCAGCTCCTGCATTGAACACCTGCCTCCTGGTGGTCAGTGGGCATCATAGCTACTGGCCAGTCATCCAGTTGTAATGGTTGCTTAGGCTTTTATATATATATATGTGTCATACTATTTTTGTTATTATAGCTCTGTATTATAGTTTGAAATAAAAAAGTATGATACCTTTAGCTTTGTTTTTTTTTTTTTCAGAACTGCTTTGGCTATTTGGGGTCTTTTGTGATCTCATACAAATATTAGAATAGTTTTTTTTTCTATTTCTGTGAACAATGCCATTGATATTTTGATGGGGATTGTATTGAATCCATAGATGGCTTTGGGTAGTATGAAAATTTTAACAATATTAATTATTCTGACTCATAAACATGAGATCTCTTTCCAAGTTATTTTTAATGCCTTTCCTCTTGTTATGTCCTTTTTTTTCCCTATGCTTTTCTTTAGGTTGATTTAATATTTTTTTTAAAAATATATTTTATTGATTTTGTACAGAGAGGAAGGGAGAGATAGAGAGTTAGAAACATCGATGAGAGAGAGTCATCGATCAGCTGCCTCTTGCACACCCCCTACTGGGGATTAGCTGCCTCTTGCACACC